AACATATAAGTTCTCAAACCTCTTTGATCTTCAAAATATTTCAGTTCATGATGCAAATATGCATTAAAACCAAAATAATAGTTTTTAAAATTTTTCTTGAAATATGTGGGTTAATCCCTTTGAAAAAAATTGAATATTTTTGATAAATGCTATCTATGATTTTTTAGACACTTTAGTGTTGTTAAAAAATACCAAACCACAATCTAAATGTATATTAATGTAGGCTAAACATATTTTCATGTTACATGGTCATAATTACTAACTTTCCAACGAGTATTTTATTTAAACTTCAATTACGAACTAATTAGTGTACTAACCACTATAAAATCTCTATTTTCTTGAGAAACAAGAAAATATAAGGTGCCAAACCTTTTTAATCTTCAAAATATGTCAGTTCATGTTGCAAATATACATTAAAAAAAAAAAATTCTAATTTTCTTGAAATATGTGGGTTAACAATCCCTTTGGAAAAACTGAATTTTTCAATAAATGCTATCTATGATTTTTAGACATTTTAATGTTGTTTAAAAATAACAAAACACAATCTAAATGTATATTAAAGTATGCTAAACATATTTTCATGTTACATGGTCATATTTTCTAACTTTTAAATAAATAATTTATATAAACTTCATATACCAACTAATTAGTGTACTAACCACTATAAAATCTCTATTTTCTAGAAAAATGGGAACATATAAGGTCTCAAACCTCTTTGATCTTACAAATATGTCAGTTCATGATTTAAATATGCATTAAAACAATAATAAAAAATGTCTAATTTTTTATTAAATATGTGGGTTAACCCCTTTGAAAAAATTGAATTTTTCGATAAATGCTATCTATGATTTTTAGACACTTTTGTTTTTTTTAAAAAATACCAAAACACACTCTAAATGTATATTAACGTATGCTAAATATATTTTCATGGTACATGGTCTTCATTTCTAACTTTCCAATGAATAATTTATTTAAACTTCATATTCGAACTAATTAGTGTACTAACCACTATAAAATCTCTATTTTCTTGAGAAGTAGGAACATATAAGGTCTCAAACCTCTTTAATCTTAAAAATATGTCAGTTCATGATGCAAATATGCATTAAAACAAAATAAAAAAATTTCTAATTTTTCTTGAAATATGTGGGTTAGCAACCCCTTTGGAAACACTGAATTTTTCGATAAATGTTATCTATGATTTTTAGATACTTTAGTGTTGTTTAAATATAGCAAAACACACTCTAAATGTATATTAACGTATGCTAAACATATTTTCATGGTGCGTGGTCATCACTTCTAACTTTCCAATGAATAATTTATTTAAATTTCATATACAAACTAATTAGTGTACTAACCACTATAAAATCTCTATTTTCTAGAGTAAATGGGAACATATAAGGTCTCAAACCTCTTTAATATTAAAAATATGTCAGTTCATGATGAAAATATGCATTAAAATTTTTTCTATTTTTTCTTGAAATATATGGGTTAACCCCTTTGAAAGAAGTGAATTTTTCGATAAATGCTATCTATGATTTTTAGACACTTTAGTGTTGTTTAAAAATAAAAAACCACACTATAAATATATATTAACGTAGGCTAAACATAGTTTCATGGTACATGGTCACAATTTCTAAATTTCCAACGAGTAATTCATTTAAACTTCTTATACGAATTAGTTAGTGTACTAACCACTATAAAATCTCTATTTTCTAGAAAAAAGGGAACATATAAGGTCTCAAACCTCTTTAATCATCAAAATATGTCAGTTCATGATGCAAATATGCATTAAAACAAAAACAAATTGTTTTTATTTTTTCTTGAAATATGTGGGTTAACCCCCTTTGGAAAAACTGAATTTTTCGATAAATGCTATCTATGATTTTTAGACACTTTAGTGTTGTTTAAAATACAAAAAAACAATTTAAATGTATATTAACGTATGCTAAACATATTTTCATGGTACATGGTCATCGTTTCTAACTTTCAAATGAATAATTTATTTAAACTTCATATACGAACTAATTAGTGTATTAATAACCACTATAAAATCTCTATTTTCTAGAGAAATGGAAACATATAAGGTCTCAAACCTCTTTGATTTTAAAAATATATCAGTTCATGATGCAAATTTGCAATAAACACAAAATAAAAAAAAATGTCTAATTTTTCTTGAAATATGTGGGTTAACCCCTTTGAAAAATTGATTTTTTTTTTATAAATGCTATCTATGATTTTTAGACACTTTAGTGTTGTTTAAAAATACCAAAACACACACTAAATTTATATTAACATATGCTAAACATATTTTCATGGTACATGGTAATCATTTCTAACTTTCCAGCGAGTAATTTATTGAAACTTCATATACGAACTAATTAGTGTACTAACAATTATAAAATCTCTATTTTCTCGAGAAATGGGAACATATAAGGTGTCAAACCTTTTTAACCTTCAAAATATGTCAGTTCATGTTGCATATATGCATTAAAACAAAAATACAAAATTTCTAATTTTTCTTGAAATATGTGGGTTAACCCCTTTGAAAAAATTGAATTTTTAGATGAATGCTATCTATGATTTTAGACACTTTATTGTTGTTTAAAAATACCAAAACACACACTAAATGTATATTAACGTATGCTAAACATATTTTCATGGTACACGGTCATCATTTTTAACTTTCCATTGAATAATTTATTTAAACTTCATATACAAATTAATTTGTGTACTAACCACTATAAAATCTCTATTTTCTAGAGAAATGGGAACATATAAGGTGTCAAACCTCTATAATCTTCAAAATATGTCAGTTCATGTTGCATATATGCATTAAAACAAAAATACAAAATTTCTAATTTTTTTTGAAATATGTGGGTTAACCCCTTTGAAAAAATTGAATTTTTAGATGAATGCTATCTATGATTTTTAGACACTTTATTGTTGTTTTAAAATACCAAAACACACACAAAATGTATATTAACGTATGCTAAACATATTTTCATGGTACACGGTCATCATTTTTAACTTTCCATTGAATAATTTATTTAAACTTCATATACAAATTAATTTGTGTACTAACCACTATAAAATCTCTATTTTCTAGAGAAATGGGAACATATAAGGTCTCAAACCTCTATAATCTTCAAAATATGTCAGTTCATGATGTAAATATTCATTAAAATAAAAATAAAAAAAATCTAATTTTTTTATGAAATATGTGGGTTAACCCCTTTGAAAAAATTAAATTTTTCGATAAATGCTATCTATGATTTTTAGACTCTTTAGTGTTGTTTAAAAATATCAAAACACACACTAAATGTATATTAACGTATGCTAAACATATTTTCATGGTACATGGTCATCATTTCTAACTTTCCAATGAATAATTTATTTAAATTTCATATACGAAGTAATTAGTGTACTAACCACTATAAAATCTCTATTTTCTAGAGAAATGAGAACATATAAGTTCTTAAACTTCTTTGATCTTCAAAATATTTCAGTTCATGATGCAAATGTGCATTAAAACCAAAATAATAGTTTTTAAAATTTTTCTTGAAATATGTGGGTTAATCCCTTTGAAAAAATTGAATATTTTCGATAAATGCTATCTATGATTTGTAGACACTTTAGTGTTGTTGAAAAATACCAAACCACAATCTAAATGTATATTAACGTAGGCTAATCATATGTTCATGTTACATGGTCATCATTTCTACCTTCCCAACGAGTAATTTATTTAAACTTCATATACGAACTAATTAGTGTACTAACCACTATAAAATCTCTATTTTCTTGAGAAACAAGAAAATATAAGGTGTCAAACCTTTTTAATCTTCAAAATATGTCAGTTAATGTTGCAAATATGCGTTAAAACAAAAATAAAAAAATTTATATTTTTTCTTGAAATATGTGGGTTAACCCCTTTGAAAAATATGAATTTTCGATAAATGCTATCTATGATTTTTAGACACTTTAATGTTGTTTAAAAATACCAAAACACAATCTAAATGTATATTAACGTATGCTAAATATATTTTCATGGTATATGATCATCTTTTCTAACTTTCAAATGAATAGTTTATTAAAACTTCATATACGAACTAATTAGTGTACTAATTACTATAAAATCTCTATTTTCTAGAGAAATGGGAACATATAAGGTCTCAAACCTCTTTGATCTTACAAATATGTCAGTTCATGATGTAAATATGCATTAAAACAACAATAAAATAATGTCTAATATTTTTAAAAAAATATGTGGGTTAACCCTTTGAAAAAATGAATTTTTCGATAAATGCTATCTATGATTTTTAGACACTTTGGTGTTGTTTAAAAATAAAAAACCGCACTATAAATATATATTAACGTAGGCTAAACATATTTTCATGACACATGTTCATAATTTCTAACTTTTTAACGAGTAATTTATTTAAACTTCTTATACGAATTAATTAGTGTACTAACCACTATAAAAACCACTATTTTCTAGAGAAATGAGAACATATAAGGTCTCAAATCTCTTTGATCTTACAAATATATCATTTCATGATGAAAATATGCAGTAAAACAAAAATAAAAAAAATTCCTAATTTTTCTTGAAATATGTGGGTTAACACACTTTGAAAAAATTGAATTTTTCGATAAATGCTATCTTTGATATTTAGACACTTTAGTGTTGTTTAAAACAACAAACCACACTCTAAATTTATATATTAACATAGGCTAAACATATTTTCATGGTACGTGGTCATCATTTCTAACTATAAAAGTGCATTCAGTTCCAAAAAAAGTTATAAAAATGTATTTAGCAAAAAAAAAAACTATAAAATTGTTATTGTCAACTCTTATTATTCGACACGTGTCTGTAATTCTACTGTACTCTTATTATCGACACGTGTCTGTAATTCTTACTGTCTGTTACATGTGATACGGTAAGAAACAGAACACAGAAACAGAACACAACAAAAAGCAATGAAAGAAAGAAAAAAAACTTCAAATCTATTTTCAAAACGTTTATAAATGCCCCAACCTTTTTCACCTCTTTCTCGGGAATATCGGTGGCATCAATAGATCCGAATCCATGGCGAAACTCAAACCGAGTTTCTGGGTTAGCAGCAGCATCCTCCTCTTCTCAATCACTCTTCTTTCAATCCATTTCAAAGGCTCACTCGGATCCGTATCAACTAACGAAGCTTACGTCACACTCTTATACGGAGATGAGTTCTTATTAGGAGTTAGGGTATTGGGGAAATCGATTAGAGACACTGGATCTCACAAGGATATGGTCGTTTTAGTCTCTGATGGTGTCTCTGACTACTCTAACAAGCTGCTTATGGTAACCTTTCTATTCCTGGAAAGCTTTAAAGTAAAGATCTTTCCTTTTTTGATATTGAGCTTTGATTTTTCTAGGCTGATGGGTGGAAAGTAGAGAAGATTAGTTTACTAGCAAACCCAAACCAAGTTCACCCAAAGAGATTCTGGGGTGTTTACACAAAGCTTAAAATATTCAACATGACTGATTACAAGAAAGGTAACTTCTTTGTGTGTGTTTTGACAAGAAAGTTAAGTACTTTATGTTTTGTTTTTTGATTAAAACATGATAAAGGTAACTACTTTGTTTGTGTTTTGACAAGAAAGTTAAGCACTTTATGTTTTATTTGTTAACAGTTGTGTATCTGGATGCTGATACTATTGTGGTAAAGAACATTGATGATCTGTTCAAGTGCTCTAAGTTTTGCGCTAACTTGAAGCATTCTGAGAGGTTGAACTCTGGAGTTATGGTCGTTGAGCCTTCTGCAGCTTTGTTTGATGATATGGTGAAGCAAGTGAAGACCTTGTCGTCTTATACTGGGGGAGATCAAGGGTTTTTGAACTCGTATTATCCTGATTTTCCTAATGCTCGTGTTTTTGATCCTAGTTTGTCTCCTGAAGTTGTGAAAACTATACCAGTTCCTAAAATGGAGAGGCTTTCTACGTTGTATAATGCTGATGTTGGTCTTTATATGCTTGCTAACAAGGTAGTGAACTTTTTTTTTGTTCTGTTTTAAAAGATAAAGTGATGTGGTCTGGAATGTGTGTGCTCAATTTAGGATTGGTTTTTGATTTATTTTAGTATTGGAATCTTGAGATTGTCATTGTTTGTGCAGTGGATGGTTGATGACAGCAAACTTCATATTATTCACTACACTTTGGGGCCTCTTAAGCCTTGGGACTGGTGGACAGCATGGCTTGTGAAACCTGTTGAGGCGTGGCATGTAGGTCTTCTTGTCTTTGGATGTACAAAAGTTTTTCTTCTTTTTATTATTACTTGAAATTTAAGTTCTTTTGAGTGAGTTTAAGTTAAGTTTTACCTCAAAACCTGCAGAGCATTAGGGTAGGGCTTGAGGAGACTCTTCCTGGAACTGGAGGTGGAAAGACACCAAATGATGAATTCATTGTCAAGTTCCTTTTCTTGTTACCACTTTGTGGTTTTTTGTTCTGCATTTATCGTTCCGTACAGGTTAGGCTCTTATTGTAGTTGTACCCAACCTCTTCTTTCATGGAAGCTAAATTCATCTCATTTGGACTCTCTGTTTTCTATTGCAGGGACGTGACTTGTTGGGTTCATTGTGCAGGAGCTCTGTATGTAATCAGATCAGACATCTTTATTACAAAATCAGATCTAATGGAACACTTGGTTATAGTGGTGTGTCAACATTGTCTACCATGAACCCCAACTATCAAGTTAGTTTGATCTGCTTTTTATCTTTTTCTAAATACTATAAAGGTTCCATCTAATGTTAAATCCTTATAACTGCAGCTTCACGCTGGCTCGCACTCCAAGGTTCCTCAATACTTGGGGGCATTTTCAGTTGTAGTCTGCTTCATGGCTATTTTGACATCCATTGGAGTTTCCTTTATGATTGTGCCAAGGCAAATCATGCCATGGACTGGCTTGATTTTGATGTTTGAGTGGACTTTTACAATCTTCTTCCTATTATATGGTGGCTTCCTACTTCTAGTGTACCAATATGGCAAGAAAGTAGCAGTTCAATCAGGATCTCCTTCATTGCAAACAGAATCATCGTTGGATGATTCAGGAAAAGGTATGCTCATGTCTACTCATTCTCTGAGCTATCTAGCTACAGAGAGACAAATGTCTTATTCATTTTTTCACAAATTATCACTAACTTCTTTGACAAATCAACAGGTCATCAGCGGGCAGATACGTCTTGTGACTTCACTACATGGTATTATGGATTAGGAATGGTGTTTTTGGCTTTTGTTGCCATCTCTTTACCCTACATGTTAGGGGTCACCGCTTTATTTTTGAGGTAAACTTCTTTTTTTACATTGACAAGGGAAACTTAAATCACTTGCTTATGTTCCTCTTTGTTATGTTCCTCGTGTATTGAAGTTGATTGCGTGTTCTTTAATTTAGTTACATTTAGAGAATGTGTTCGTGTTGCTCGGTTTATTAGTGGTTTTGACTGGATTAGGATCCATCAGGATAAGTTTTATGTACTAAACTGGCTACATATGGAGCAGGTTGGGTTTGATGATAGCAGTAGCAATGGTTCTAGTTTCGTTCATGACTTATGCTTCAGAGCACCTCGCAGTAAGATGGTTCCTCAAAGGTCTAGAAGACCGTGACACGACGAGAACAAAGTCAATATGCTTCCTCTGCTGACATTCAAAAGTGTGTCCCAATGTAACTCACAACACCACTTATGTATTGATTTCTTTATTCTGTTAGAACAGCTCTTGAGTTTTTGTACTTTCTTGTGTTTATTATATCATTCTTCTTTACAAATCATTTTGGTCACACGACGAGAAAAAACGTAAATAAGTTAGTTAACCAGACGAGTATGTTCGTCCAAAAAGCAAAAGCTCCTTCGGGATTAAAAACTGGTTTAGTTCGGTTTATATAACTAATGGTATGAACCGGTTCGATTAAAATATCGTCACGTGATCTTCACATGATCACCGATTAATAATTAGTATGAATTGTTTTATTTTTTAAGACAACTCAAATCACTTTATCCACTTCTCTCACTTAGCTATGTCTCTCGTCTTCCTCAATCCTCTGTTTCCCTCAAACCCAATCCACCCGATTCCTCGTCGCGTCGTCACTCGCTGCTCAATCTCCGCACCGGAGAAGAAGCCGAGAAGAAGGAGGAAGCAGCAGCAGAAGCGCGGTGAGAATGAAGATTCCTCCACAACCTTCGGCAGCAGCGAAGCTGTCTCTGCGCTGGAGAGGAGTCTCCGCCTCACTTTCATGGATGAGCTCATGGAAAGAGCCAGGAATCGAGATTCGTCAGGAGTATCTGAGGTTATCTATGACATGATAGCTGCGGGGCTTACCCCTGGACCACGCTCTTTCCATGGCTTGGTTGTAGCTCACGCGCTTAACGGCGACGAACAAGGCGCGGTAATAAAAAATGATTCCTGTATTAGTTCAGTTTCTTGAATGTAGATTGTATAGAACTTGAGCTAATGGTTTAAGGGTAAGTTTCAAAATTTGGACTTTCTTTGTCTCTTGTAGTTTCTAGGGTGTGTGGTTGTTGAAGTGTAACATAAAGAGTTGTCTTTTATGTGTGGTTGTTGAAGTAAAACATAAAGAGTTGTCATTTATGTGTGTGTTTGTGGTGGGGGGGGGGGTGATTGCAGTGAGAATTGAATCGATTTTGCGTTGTTGTGATTTATAGAACTTGAGCTAAATGGTTTAGGGGTAACAGATTTTTTAACTAAGTTTTAGAATTGGGACATTCTTGTCTCTCTTAGTTTCTAGGGTGTGTGGTTGTTGAAATGAAACATAAAGAGTCTTCTTTTCTATGTGTGTGTGTGTCTTATTGCAGATGCACTCGCTTAGAAAGGAGCTAGGTTTTTAAAAGGGTATAAGATTTAAAAATTGGAATTTTTTTTCTCTCTTGTAGTTTCTTGGATGTGTGGTTGTTGAAGTGAAACATAAAAGAGGTTTATTTTATATGTGTGTGGGTGATTGCAGATGCATTCGCTAAGAAAGGAGCTAGGAGCAGGCCAACGTCCACTTCCTGAAACCATGATTGCTCTGGTTAGACTCTCTGGTTCTAAAGGAAATGCACAAAGAGGTTTAGAGCTCCTTGCCGCTATGGAAAAGCTTAACTATGACATTCGTCAAGCTTGGTTAATCCTTGTTGGTAATCTCTTTTCCCTAGACTTAGTGTTAGATTCTGTTTTATTGTGTGTGACTTAGTAATCGTTTGTTTTATAGAGGAACTTGTGAGAACCAACCACTTGGAAGAGGCGAATAAAGTTTTTTTGAAGGGTGCTAAAGGGGGGATGAGAGCAACGGATCAGCTTTATGATTTGATGATTGAGGAAGATTGCAAAGCTGGAGATCATTCGAATGCCTTGGAGATTTCTTACGAAATGGAGGCAGCTGGTAGATTTGCGACAACGTTCCATTTCAACTGTCTTCTTAGTGTGCAGGTTTGTTATAATATCTTGGAATATATAATACACGCCTCTCTTTTTTTGTCTAATGAAGATGATAAACTGTTTTGTTTGACATCAAATTTTGTGTAGGCTACTTGTGGGATTCCGGAGGTAGCTTATGCTACATTTGAGAATATGGAGTATGGTGAAGGTTTGTACATTTGGCTGTTTTCCTCTTTAATTGTTTGGTTTAGTTTTTGCATGATGGCTTTTGACATGGTTTAATATGATGTTGATTTTAGATTTTATGAAGCCGGACACTGAGACGTATAACTGGGTGATTCAAGCTTATACAAGAGCTGATTCATATGATAGGTAATGCATATGAAGATTGGCATTTATCTCAAATTGTGAGCTAAGGTTTAGATAGCCTGTTGTGTGAATCACAGGGTTCAAGATGTTGCTGAGTTACTTGGAATGATGGTTGAGGACCACAAACGTGTACAGCCAAATGTGAAGACTCATGCGTAAGAGAATCTTATAAATTTCAATACTGTCTTGTACTCAGTTATACCCACTTTGCATTTCTAACAATCTGTATAATATTCTATTACAGGCTCTTAGTTGAGTGCTTCACGAAATATTGTGTTGTGAAGGAAGCGATTAGACATTTTCGTGCTCTGAAAAACTTTGAAGGAGGAACCAAAGTTTTACACAATGCAGGGAACTTTGAGGATCCTCTCTCTTTATATCTCCGAGCTTTGTGCCGAGAAGGTACGCATACACTTCTTCTACACATGCTTTCTAATTTTCTTCCTTAGTAAATTGACCTTTTTAAAAAGATATCCTCTGGCTCAACCTTTGGACCAGGAAGAATTGTTGAGCTTATTGATGCTTTAGATGCAATGCGCAAAGACGACCAACCTATACCTCCAAGAGCCATGATTATGAGCAGAAAATATAGGACACTAGTCAGTTCATGGATTGAACCCTTGCAAGAAGAAGCTGAACTTGGTTATGAGATTGATTATTTAGCAAGGTACGTAGAGGAAGGGGGGCTTACTGGTGAACGCAAACGTTGGGTACCTCGAAGAGGGAAAACTCCTTTAGACCCTGACGCAGCTGGATTCATATACTCAAACCCTATTGAAACATCTTTCAAACAGAGATGTCTTGAAGATTGGAAAGTTCACCATAGGAAGCTCTTGAGAACCTTACAGAGTGAAGGTCTTCCGGTTTTAGGGGACGTAACAGAATCTGATTACATGAGAGTGATGGAGAGATTACGGAACATAATAAGAGGTCCTGCGCAGAATCTTTTGAAGCCAAAAGCAGCAAGCAAGATGGTTGTATCAGAGTTGAAGGAAGAACTTGAAGCTCAGGGTTTGCCTATTGATGGAACCAGAAATGTTCTTTACCAGCGTGTGCAAAAAGCAAGGAGGATTAACAAGTCTCGAGGTAGACCTCTCTGGGTTCCTCCAATAGAAGAAGAGGAAGAGGAGGTTGATGAGGAAGTAGACGAATTAATATGTAGAATCAAGCTACATGAAGGAGACACAGAGTTCTGGAAACGCCGGTTTCTTGGAGAAGGCTTGATTGAAACTACGGCTGAAACCAAAGAAGATGAATCAGTAGATACAGGTGAGATTGAGAACAAGACTGAAGATGTTGCAAAGGGAGCTGATGATGATGAGGATGATGACGAAGAGGAACAGGAAGGAGATGAGGATGATGATGAAAATGAAGAGGAGGAAGAAGTGGTGGTTGCAGAGCCTGAGAATCGAGCAGAAGGAGAGGATTTAGTAAAGAATAAGGCAGCTGACGCTAAGAGGCATCTCCAAATGATTGGAGTCCAGCTCTTGAAAGAATCCGATGAAGCTAACAGAACAAAGAAACGAGGGAAGAGAGCCTCTCGTATGACACTCGAGGTTTGATATGTTTATTATTAATTAGTCACATGTTCATGAATTTGATAGCTTAAGCATGCTTGCACAATGGTGGTTCTCTCCAACAGGATGATGCAGATGAGGATTGGTTCCCTGAGGAACCATTTGAAGCGTTCAAAGAGCTAAGGGAAAGAAAAGTGTTTGATGTTTCGGACATGTATACAATAGCAGACGTTTGGGGTTGGACATGGGAGAAGGATTTTAAGAACAAAACTCCTAGGAGATGGTCACAAGAATGGGAAGTCGAGTTGGCAATGGTGCTCATGACTAAGGCAAGAGACCTCTAAAGCATTATATTACAATTTTGCATGATCCATCATGTTAATGATAATGAGTTTGTGTAGGTGATTGAATTGGGTGGAGTTCCAACTATTGGTGATTGTGCGGTGATATTACGAGCTGCTATAAGAGCTCCCATGCCTTCAGCCTTCTTGAAGATCTTGCAGACTACTCACAGTCTTGGCTATGCTTTTGGCAGGTTAATTAAGCTCCATAAGCTAGTCTAAGCCATTATAAATGAGTTATGACTATAAATTAAATGAATGTTATAATCTATTGCAGCCCACTGTACGATGAGATCATCACGTTGTGCTTGGACATTGGAGAACTTGATGCAGCCATTGCTATAGTAGCTGATATGGAAACCACAGGGATCACTGTCCCTGACCAGACTCTTGACAAGGTCATTTCTGCTAGACAGTCCAATGAGAGTCCCAAGTCTGAACATGAAGAGCCACCATCATCATCAGAAAGCTCTTAGTATCTTCTTACACATCGTGATGCAGCTGGTTCAGTCTTAGTTATGAAAGTTTTGTTTAAACAAAAGAAAAAAAAAATGCAGGCATGTTTAAACAAGTGTAGTTGCGAGTGTAGATTAATCTATAATTTAAAGCTTTGCTTATATCCATGCCAGAATCGTCCATAGGCATGATCAACATATGTTCTATATACGACACAATGCATGCAGGAGATGAGTGAAAGATTATCATTATATGGCAAACACTAACCTATAAACCCTTGAGAAGATCAATAATGTGACTTTATATTTGACTAAATGCATGCAAAGAGACTTACAATGAGTAACAATGCATTGTTTTATCTTTAGGCCAAGAAGGTTGGACACACGCTATTTCTTTTTCTTTTCAAATAAGTATGTGGCTTTTGGAAAACGATGATTGTGTATATGGTCTCTCATGAACGTGAGGTTGACAAATTGAGGGAGAAAGTTTGGTAAGAAAACGTAAAAGATGGAATCGGAGTCGATTGAGCAAAACCATTTGTTGGGCCCTGAGTAGGTGGACAGCGATTAGGACAACTAGCCATGGGTATCTAGGTGTTTTCTGGTTTGGTTTGATTCGGTTTGTTATTCAATTTTTGATTTTTTTTTTTGTTTCAGACACATAAGGCCATGCACATCAGTGATGCGGGAGGGGAAATCGTTATTTTAATTTTTTATTATTTTTTTAATTGATTCTTTTTTACTTTTTAGAAAACATAAATAAAAAAAAATAAAGTGATCAATAGCGGGCCGCCACGTGGTGTGGGGCCCGCATAAAAGTGATGAACCGGGTTCGTCCGCAAGAGGCGGGACGAAACGAGTTCATGAATATGTAATTATTTTATTATTTTTCTGTCTCGGTAAGTGTGTGAACGTCTTGTAAGAACCATCAATGCGCATGCCCTAAGATCCGTTTCGTTACTTATAAAATCTGATCCAATTTTGGTTTGGTTATTTCAGGTTTTTTGTTCGGTTTGAATAATAAGATTGAAAATCAACTAATATTCGAAATTATTTTGGATTCATCTCAATTCTTGTTTGATTACATTGTTAGGATAGTTTCAGCTAATTTGGATAACATTTCTGGATAATTCTGTTTTTCAGAAATAATATAAGGAAATTCGGGTTTTCGGATAAATTATTGAGTAATTCAGATAATCTGAATATATTAGACAAAAATTTTGGATGGTGTTTTTTTAAAAAAATAACTCAGTTTATAAATATTTCATCCGTTCCTAAAAAATCTATATTCTAGGATTTTCACAGATATTAATAAACACAATTATTAGTTTTTCCCATAATTTTAAGCCAATAAAAATTTAATAAGTGCAATTAAGTTTTTTGAAATTTGCAATTATTTAATAAAATATGCATTGAAAATGCAAAAAATAAAACTTTTAGAAACAATTTTTTTTTCTAGAATATTGATCTTTTAGGAACGGAATGAGTAATATTTTATGTGACTTTACTAAGGTGTAGAAAATAACAACTACCACATATTAAAAAGGCTAAGTCAAAATAGCTTTTAAATTTTTGGTTCATCAGACAGAAAACAATACTTTGATAAAAGAAATTAAAGCACAATACATGAGAAATACAAGATTACTTTAATTATTTCCCAAACATAATGAGAAAATGCATTTCACTCCACTAATAAAAAGTGTATTAAAATATAGTACAGTGTAAATACACATTGTTGACTTGTGTTTGCCTTCCAGGATTGAAGAGTGACGAGATCGTGCTTTCCCATGTGCAGATGTACTGGATGGATACATGTTTTCTTTGCAATGCGAGAAACACAAGGCTATGACCAGTAGGTTTTTTTAATGATTTTAGTCTTTCTTAATTCAGGATATCTGTATTGTAATTAAGGATGTTTAATTTTTATTGGCTTGATTACAAAGAGACATTAAATAACCTTGATTAGTTAAATGGCGACAGCTAAAGAGGGGTTAAATATCATTTTATTAATGAAATTAATATTTCAATATACGTAGAATCAACGTGCATATATGAAAATAAACAAACATCATAGTATTAAGAAAATAAGATAAGTTAGCTGTCCATCTGGCTGCACATGTGTGAGTATAGTTATTTTTGTTGACTTAAATGCAACCCTGGTCATTTTTAATGTTAAGTAACATCGTACTCTTAAAAACAAAAGACTCACCAACTTGATTGATTTTACGGCTATATAGTCATATGCATGCAAAGATAAGAGAGAAAAAGGGTAAATAGTTAATTTAGGGATTTAGTTTGTATATGGGATGCAAATACTCTTCTTTAATCACCATGAAAATGATCAATACACACACAAAATATTGATGTTTGGACTATTTTCCACACATTAAGACAATATCATTTGCTTTAGCTTTCTTTCACTACAATTGGGTTTTATTGTAATTCTTTTATTTTTACTATTAAGTGAGTTGTTTTATTTGAATGTGTATTTTAATTTTCCTTTGTATTCTGTTAATGTTTAATATAACACCAGTTGTCAAAATAAAATTAGTAAAGTAGGTAACTCGGTTGGTTTTTGGGTTTTTCATTCATCTTGTTTCCGGTAGCCTTGTATTTCGAAAAAGATAACTAAGGCTGCAACTAAATTGTTGATTTTTGAAGTAAAATGCTTTATTTCATTAATTTCAAAAAAAGTTTTCACCATTTGACATGAATGGAATGAAATACTCATTCCATCAATTCCACAAACATTCCAAAAAGTTACAAAGAAAAACATTCCTAAACATTCCACTACAATTTTATTCATGAATAAATGGAATGGAATTCATTCCATTTTTTGTTGTATTTCATTCCTATTATTTCATTTATTTGCATTCCACCAATTCATAATTTTTTGTACCAGTTGCAGCCTAAGGGTGGGCTTAGCTTATTTTAGTTACTATTTACCGGAGATTTTCCATTCATTACATTTGGAACTCGATAAAAGATTGTTCAAACAATAGCCACAATTTTTCTTTCCCCCTGTGAACAATCTTATATATTAAAACAGAAGTCATGACTTCACTTCATGTGTGATTTTTTAAGAAGTGGACTATTACTTGAAAGTCATGTTATATTAACTCTCTAATAATCTTATCATTATTATATCTTATGAAACATCATATCTATAATAACAAAGATACAATTAATCATTTGGTTTTGGTAAATTATCCCACACCTTCTAACTTAGTCAAGCACAATATGTCAATAGATATAAGTTTAGGAATCTTCTATTATTTATAAGGAAATATGTCAATAATAGTTAAATGCATCCACAATATATTAACAAAAAGCACAGATTCGTAATATAGAATATTTATATACCCTAACAATATTTACACACTCTATATACTAGATAAATTTATTTCGATATAAATTTTTAAAATTATATTGTTTAAAAAGAAATTGTTTAAAAAATTCTTTTTTAATAAAATTCTTTATAATATTAATTTATGAAGCTATAAGTTTAGTTTTTAGCAAAAAATTCTTTGAAGTTTATATTATCTTTGCAAATTAAAGTATACTAATATTTAATCAAACTCTATTTATATTATTTTATCTAAAAGTGAAATACTAATCTAACAAACAATAAAATATAGAAGAAGAAATAAACACATGTTTCAAAAAACATGTATAATATAGAAAATTTGAAACAATCTATTTGATTAGAACACATATTGTATAATATTATTATGTTTGAAAAACATTTACTATACATATTGTAAATATATGATTACTATAATAAATACCAAATTACAAGTGAAAACAAAATGTTTATATAACTAACTATAAACGAAAACAAACATCCGCGCGATTGCGCGGGTCAAAATCTAGTTCATTATTAATGCCCGAGAACAGGTATATTGAAATCCTAATCTTTAGTTACTTAACATTTGCAACAAAATCTCATGTGCTCATGTTAGAGGCAAGAGAACATTTTTTTTTCTTGTTGTGAACAATTCATTGTAAGAATGGGAAGTCGAGTTGGCATTTGGCACCTGTGCTGATCATGTCGAAGGCAGGAGACCTCTAAAGCATTATAGTATATTTTTTTATGATCCATCATGTTAATGATAATGAATTTGTATAGGTGATTGAATTGGGTGGAGTTCCACTCCAACGATTGGTGATTTTCGGTGATATTAGGAGCCGAGCCGCTATAAGAGCCCTCATGCCTTCAGTCTTCTTGAAGATTCTTCCAAACTACTAGGGCTGGACACAAGTTGGGTATTTGCTGTTTTAGCAATACTCGCTACTTAAAAAATAAGTTATTTACAAATTACTTATTATATTTTATTACTTATTATTTGTGAGTATTTGTAAAGTTACGTAGTAGTATTTATGAGTTAGTTGTAAATATTTGTGAGTAACATAAATGGAATTTTAAGTATTTAAAAATTACTCGCTGAATAATGTTATATCGAAAAATGAAAATAGCAATTTATTTTTGTTGTTGTACAAGGAATAAACACAAAAATTAATATAAATAAATTATTTGTACATAATATAAACAATAAGAATGAAGAACGTGTGAAAGATTATCATCATAGGGCAAACACTAACCTAAACGGTTAAACCCTTCAGAAGATCAATAATATACATGCAAGCACCAAGGAGACTGACAATGCATCGTTTAAAAGAAAAAACAATGCATTGTTTTGTTTTTACTCTTTAGGGGTCAAGAAGGTTGTAGGCAGACGCTATTTGGGGTTAAGCTACGGGAGAAAGTTTGGTAAAGATAGAGTCGGTGTCGGTAGGATTTATGATGGCCCATGTTCTGGAAATAGTTTGGCGCTGATTTGTCAAACAAATAGTACAAAACAATTGAGTGATTGATTGACTGTGATTTCTTATCACAAAGCTATCTAGTCATTGTCTAAATTCGACATAGCTTTTGTATTCTGTCATAAACTTTCAGGTGTCATGGATTGATAGGCTGTTACTTGCATTGTGTAACTTGTTGATTGGGCGTTTGATTTTAAGTGCTTAGCAGATCAATAACAATTGGTATAAGACCAAATATACACTTCCCGGATTAGTATCATTGCTTTTCTAATCTTTCATCTTTAGGTAATTAATCATAGTTACGTTTTAATTTTCCCAAACATAATGAGAACATGTATTTCACTCCACTTACACTCCATTAATAAAAAAAAAATTTAAATACAGTACAGTGCTAATAAAAATTGTGGTCTTATAGCCAGGAGCCTTTCAGGCTTGAAGAGTCGTAAGAAGGGAGCGTGCTTTTTCCATGCGCAGATGTGCTGGATACACGCAGAGCTGTCGCTATGATTTTGTATGCCATAAGCCGAATAAAATAAATATTCTAATTCTTTACTAAATTTTTTTTCCAATGCGAGAAACACAAGGCAATGATGTAGGTTTTTTTAATGATGTAGTCTTTCTTTAAGCAGGATATCTGTATTGTAATTAATGATATTTAATTTTCATTGACTTGTGATGATCTTAACAAAAGAGACGAATAAATCATCTTGATCAGTTAGTTGGTAACAGCTAAAGAGGGTTGATTTTCATTTTATACATGAAATTAATATTTGAATACGAGGGAAAACAAACATAAGAAAACAAAATAAAATAGCTGTCATCTGACTGCACACGAGAGTATAGTTTTTTTTAATCGACTTAAATGCAACTCTGGTCATTAATAATGTTTGTTAACTTCTTACTCTTATAATCAGGCATATATATATTTATGCAATGTCTCTGTTATAGGCATTTTCATACCTTTTCTCCTTAGCCATGATACGAATCGATACACACTTATGGTCCCCCGCCCATAAGGATGAGCTTTCTGAGAATGATGTATGGAAGTTCGTTGATATAATGAGAGAGGGAAATCTTTTTAGTTCTCCTATTCTGTTTTTCTGTTGCGACTGTCTAGAGCGCATTGAAGACAATGATCTTCACTGCCGTTGCACTTTATGCTCCAAGCTGTGGCATCTCCGTTGCATCCCAAGTTCCCCGCACGATATAACCCACCCGTTCCACGCATACCATCCTCTGAAGCTTCTTATTGATGTTCCACAACCACCTTATCACTCAAAAGGGAAATGCGATGCATGTAAGGAAGAACTCAAGAGCTATTTCTACCATTGTTCTATATGCGATTTCAGCGTGCACGTGAGATGTTCCAAGGACCCACCACCACCGATTGTTGAAACTCCAATTAAGTGCCATGACCATACACTCACATGTATGGTTAGAAATGACACATTCACATGTAACGCTTGTGGTACGCATGGTGATCGATGCCCTTATGTATGCGCTCCCTGCGGTGTCATGTTCCACAGGGAATGTATCGACCTACCACACGTCATAAACATCAATCGTCACGACCATCGAGTCTCTCACACTTACTCTCTTGGTTTTGGGAAAAGGAAATGCATGATTTGTCACAAGAAAGTGGATTGGAGGTACGGAGCTTATCTATGTTCGACATGTCCTGATTATTATGTTGTTCATTCCAAATGTGCAACTAGAAATGATGTGTGGGATGGGGTAGAGCTCGAAGGGGAGCCTGAAGAATATTTTGATGTTTCGCCATTCGAAGTGATTGAAGAGGGAATTTCAATTAAACATTTCTCCCATGAAGACCATATCTTATATAAGATTGAAGACGAAGATGATATACTTGATGGAAGCATGCGTTGTGAAGCTTGCATCCATCCTATCTTTTCTGAGAGGCACTACAAGTGTATGGAATGCGAAGACTTTGTCATCCACGAAACATGTGCTAATCTTCCTCTTCGAAAACGACATTGGCTCTCCAGGAAGCCGTTTTATTTAAACGCCAATAAGGATGATACAAGCAAATCACTCTTCCGATGTGGTGCATGTGAAACAACATCCAATGGTTTTAGGTACGAGAGTGAGGGAGTGTCACTAGATATGCGATGTGCGTTCGTGGTCTCATCGTATGACAGTGAATGTCACCCACATACACTCTTTCTCACCACGTTGGAAAAGGGCACTTGTGGGGGTTGTAAGCTCCTCAAAAAACATGTGCTACGTTGTACTGAATCAGAATGTGATTACTCCTTGTGCTTGGCGTGTGCTACTCTACCGAAGAAGATAAAACGCAAGGGTGATGAGCATTTTCTATTCTTGCGCCACGGTGAGGAAGATGTCAGCGGTAAGTATTGGTGTGAAGTTTGTGAAACCGTTTTAGATCCACATGAGGAATGGTTTTACACATGTGATGTCTCTGGAGTCACTTTTCATGTTAAGTGTGTGGTTGGGGAGTTTCCAAAAGCTAAGCCAGGATTTACTTATCATTATCAATGTGTGCTAGGGGAGACTCCATCACTCATCTACGGAAGACTCTTCCGTCCTGCTGAGGGGGAAGAGAAAATAGAACTTGTACCTAATGACCGTGTTACGAGACCAAAATGTGCCTCATGCGGCTCTCGTTGCCTACCTCCCCTTATTCTAAAGCTCTACTTGGTGGATACTTATGAGGTTTATTGTTGTAATCTTAAATGTTCTCTCAAGTTTTTGGTAGACACATCAAAAGACTACAACCAGTGTTTTCAAAACCGGATCAGACGTGTTGGTCGGACTGGTCCAACCATGACTCCTTTCGTTGCTCAAGTTCAGCATCGGATTAGACCGGTCTAAACTTAAAAAAATGTACTAAAACTTTTTAAGTTTAAGTAATATGCTTCTTTTTTTTTTAGTTTTTTAGTGTTGGTTCTTTTTAAGTTTCCTCTCATGGTTTATCTTCTTGTATTTACCTCTTTGTGTCTCTCCCTCCTATGGTAGGCTGTTGGCTCCGGTGGCTATTCACTGCTACCCACTTTGTATTCTGTTAATGTTTTAGTATAACACCAGTTGAACAATTCATTATAAATGTTTGAGCTGAGGTATGAAAACCTAATCTTTGGTTACTTAAGCATTTGCAATAAAAATCTCATGTGCTCATGTCAAAGGCAAGAGAACATTATTTTCCTGTTGTGAACTCATTATAAGAATGAGAAGTCGAGTTGGCAATTGTGCTCATGTCAAAGGCAGGAGACCTCTAAAGCATTATAGTATAAATTTGAATGATTCATCATGATAATGAATTTGTATAGGTGGTTGAATTGGGTGGAGTTCCAACTATTGGTGATTTGCGGTGATATTAGGAATAGGAGCCGCTATATATAAGAGCCCCCATGTCTTTAAGTCTTCTTGAAGATTCTTCCAGATCACACATAGTCTTGGCTACTCTTTTGGCAGGTTTTAAGTCTCAAACTATGCTATGTTTACGCATTGTTTTGTCTTCAGGGGCCCAAGAAGATTGGACGCAGACACGTTTTTCTTCTTTTCAGTTAAGTACGTGGCGTTTTCAAAATGATGACTGTGTATGGTCCCTGATGAACGTGGGGTTGACAAGTTGAGGGAGAAAGTTTGGTAAAGATAGAGAGTCGGTGTCGGTTGAGCAAACCATTTTTTTGGGTGGGTTTAACATAGATAAGATTTATGATGGTCTACTCTAGCGTTTTCCTCCCATGTTCTAGATATAGTTTGGCGCCGATTCGTTTGTTATTTTTTTTTTGTCTTGGTGATTTCTTACGAGAAAGTTGTCTAGTCACTGTCTAAATTTGACATAGCTTTTCTAATTCTACCATGTTCAGGTGTCATGCATTGATCTCATATAAAAAAAACTGTTAGCTGCATTGTGTAGTTTATTGATTGGTCGAGTGTTTAGCAGGTCAATGGATGTCTAATCATAATCAATTGATGAAAGACTGAATATATTTTAAAACATTTGTTGTTTTGCATAGTTGAATACAATGTTCAATTAATTAAGAAGATAATTGTATGTTACCAAACAAAAAAAAAAGAAGATAATTTGTATTTCCTTTAAGACCAAACATACACTTTCCCAAAATAATATAATTTGTTTCCTAATATTTCATCTTTAAGGTAATTAATCAGAATTACGTTTTTATTTTTTGCCGCGTTTAAGTTAATCACACCATTATCAGGAAATAAATAACTAAAAAATATTTTGTAGGGGTGGATATCTATTAAGACAACCTTTTAAGAATTAAATCACTGTTGCGACATCGACACGTGTTACCAGAGACAAAAGAATCACACCTTCTCTGAGGATTTGCTCAGATTTTTGTTGACTCTTTGACCATCACTTTAATCAACGGTTTATAATTCTACACGTGTTAAGCATTCAAGTCTGTAAGATTCTGATTGGTCCAAAAAAAGGAAATAACAAAAAAAAAAGTAATAAAAAGAGAGAAAAAGCTAAAGCAGAAGAACGAAGGAAGCAACAAAGCTCGAGGAGAGATCCAGAGAGAAAGGGCACAAAAAAAAAAAAAAAAAACGGAAATTCGATTCTAGGGTTTTTGACCCTTTGGGTGTTTTGATTCTCCGGCTAAGTCCCGGAGACTTTTGTGATCGAAAGGAGATTACTTTATGTTAATTAAGAAGCGATGAAAGGAGCTGGGATGATCTCTCGACCTGTCTTCCTTGATGAAGCTTTCTCTAGAAAGCTTGATTTGTCTTCTTCGTCTTCTTCGAGTCTTCTCCATCACTTTAATAAGTCTCATGAAGGTTTTGATTTGTTTAATTCTCCTGATCTGTGTGTTTGTATCCGTTGATTTTAGGTTTTGTGATTCCTTTTTTTTTGAGGTGTGATTGATTAGAAGATCTTAGCTTTGTGTGTTTTTGTCGTTTACCCTTTTGTGGATTGTGTGATTAGATGAGGAAAGTTATTAGCTTTTGGTTTGTTTGTTTTGGGATAAAAAAAGGAACTTTTTGTGAGAATGTGACTGTTATTAGTGATTACTGTAATTGGTTAATGTTTTTTTTTTTTGTTGCAGCTGATGATGATGCACGTTTGACACTTGCGCATCAACTCTACAAAGCTGGAGATTTCAAACAAGCTTTGGAGCATAGCAACTTGGTTTATCAGAGGAACCCGTTGCGTACTGATAATCTTCTTCTTATTGGTGCTATTTATTACCAGGTACTGTTTAGTGCTTCTTTTTTTTTTGATTAGAAGGGACTTGTAGGTTGTTAACTTGTGTCTTACATGTTGTGCAGCTACAAGATTATGATATGTGCATTGCTAGGAATGAAGAAGCTCTTCGGATCCAACCTCAGTTTGCTGAGTGTTATGGAAACATGGCGAACGCTTGGAAGGTTAGTAGATTTCCCTTTGCTTGATCAGTTTGTTATTGCCAGTAATTGTTTTAATGATCTATGGTTTGCTTTTTTTAGGAAAAAGGGGACACTGATCGTGCAATCCGCTACTACTTGATCGCCATTGAGGTTGTGCTATATCAAATTTTTGCTTCTCGGTTTTGCCTACACTGATGCTTGTTGCTTTATCTTAATTTTGTTCTCTTTCTTACACTTTCTTTTCGTTGTGTTTCTCAGCTGAAGCCCAACTATGCTGATGCTTGGTCGAATTTGGCTAGTGCATACATGAGAAAGGGAAGACTTAGTGAGGCAACACAATGCTGTCAGCAGGCACTGTCATTGAATCCACTTCTGGTATTTGAATTTATGATCCTTTTACCTATAGCTTCTTTCCTGATTTAAAACAAGGTCTTCTCACCTTACCATGTGATTTTTCTCCCCCTAGGTTGATGCACATAGTAATCTGGGGAATCTGATGAAGGCTCAAGGATTAATTCAGGAAGTAAGTCTAGTTAATAAGCTCTTTCAAGTTTATCTGTTCCTGTTCCAACCCTTAGAAAGATCATCTGCAGTTTTCTTGTGCTTTCTAGTTATGGTTGCAATTGATTTACCCAAGTTTCTTCATCGCTGATGAACTTGTAATTGAACAGAAATAAAGTAAATGGATGGTGACGTGATGCTCTAGTAATCTAGCATCACATCTGTAGCCTGATTACTGGTTTATCAAGTGCCATTACTGATGGACGCATTTCATTTGTTTTCTGTGTTGTACTTGTGTCATAATCCACAATCAATACAGACATACTGAAAGGCAGGCAGGGATGATCGTCAGTCTTATAGTCAGGATCCTCTACTAGAGTCCAAATTGTTAGATTGTAATATTTTGTGCAGGCATACAGTTGCTACCTTGAAGCTGTTCGCATTCAACCAACATTTGCTATTGCATGGTCGAATCTTGCTGGTCTTTTCATGGAGTCAGGTGATCTCAACAGAGCCCTTCAGTACTACAAGGTATTCTTCATTCTCTCCTTTTAAAAATCCTCGGATATACGGGTATGTCTGCCTATGGTTGTGTCAATCTCCTCTGTTTCTATCACTTAAGAGATCTTTTTCAGAGTCACCAGATCATTATTATTGTTGACGTTTTAGCTATGTTGGCTGAATCTCTTAATGTACCAGGAAGCTGTGAAGTTGAAACCTGCATTCCCTGATGCATATTTTAATCTGGGGAACGTGTATAAGGCTCTGGGGAGACCTACAGAGGCAATCATGTGTTATCAGCATGCCTTACAGACGCGGCCAAATTTTGCAATGGCATTTGGTGAGTGTATTTTTCGATCAATTAAATGCTTTCAGCTGTAATAAAATTCAGTTGTACAAGTAAAAGTGTGATGTCTTTTTTTTTTTGTTACTGAGTTTTAACTACTTAACGCAGGAAACATAGCCAGTATATACTATGAGCAAGGTCAATTGGATTTAGCAATTCGACACTACAAGCAGGCTATCTCCCGAGATCCACGTTTCTTAGAGGCTTACAACAACTTGGTTAGCATCAAGAATACATATTATGTGGGTTTTGTGGTCTATGAATTGTATTGTTATCTAACGTATGATCCTCTTGTTTAAAGGGTAATGCGTTGAAGGACATTGGACGTGTGGATGAAGCAGTTCGGTGTTATAATGTAAGTGTGGTTTCTATTTGATGCTTGTTAATGAATTAACACATCTCTGACGAACATGTGTTTTTTTCTTGCAGCATTGTCTTAATTTACAACCGAATCATCCACAAGCAATGGCGAATCTTGGAAACATATATATGGAGTGGTATGTGGTTCTTTCTTTCTTCTTACTAAAATACACATTATTATAGTAACTTCCATGTCACAACTTTGAACAGGAATATGATGGGTCCTGCTTCCTCATTATTCCAAGCTACTTTGGCTGTAACGACAGGGCTATCTGCTCCTTTCAACAACCTTGCAATAATTTACAAACAACAGGTGGCTGGCTACATGCTCCTTTTGTTGATGTTCAATCATTATTGGACTCTTGAACATGTTTTTTTGACGAATGCTGGTTGTTTTTTCTTCCTTAACTGCAGGGAAATTACACGAATGCTATATCCTGCTATAATGAGGTTCTTCGTATTGACCCATTGGCTGCTGATGCTCTTGTTAATAGAGGCAATACTTTCAAAGAGATCGGGAGGGTAACTGAAGCTATTCAGGATTACATGCATGCTATTACTTTCCGGCCTACAATGGCTGAAGCTCATGCAAACCTGGCCTCAGCTTACAAGGATAGGTATCTGTTCTCACTATCTTGCAATACAGGATTACATGTATGCTTCACTAGAAAAGTTTGTTTCTCCCTGTATAGTCTTTATGCTGCTTTCATGTTAGTTAGACGCTTGTTTGTGAAATTAACAACAGTTAAGATGTTTAGAGTACCATACCGAATTTGCCTGCTGTTAACTGTATATGCTCCATCAGAAAGACTTTTATTGTTGGGTTGATCTATTTTTTGGACCTTTTCGCATAAACAGTGGGCATGTGGAAGCTGCAATAACGAGCTATAAGCAGGCCTTGCTACTACGACCAGACTTCCCAGAAGCAACTTGTAACCTTCTGCACACCTTACAGGTAAGACTTTTCCCTCACATGTTTGATATTATTGCTTCTGCCTCCATATCTTTGCTCTTGTTTTTTCTCATCT